AAATGCAGGAAATGAGTTGTTGCTCTCTATAAGCCACTCTAATCTTGACAATACCATTCTTTCCATTACTTTCCCGACGCAGCTGGCTAAGGCGATTGATCTGTAGGAGGAAAGTGCACAAGGACACTTCCCCGGCTTAATCAATGCAATAATGCGACTGCATTTCCAATTACCTGGGACTTCTCCTGACTCCCTGAGGTGTTATGAACTATGATTAATTCTTCTTGACCAAGCTTATTGAAACTCAATTTGGCTTAAGTAGGTATAGATAAGCTGGCCTGAGTGTCTACGCACTCCGCATGGTTTAACGAAAAGCTTTATCGTCCAGCTGTAATAGCGGCGTCCCGCAGCGATTACGCTATGCAGCTACGCCGAGACAATTCGTACAAGGATAAGTTCTGCAGCATGTTCACTGGCAGTGATAAAAAAATACGTGTTCATGTGTGGCGAGAAGTCAACAACTAACCACGCATATATCGGCGCAGCTGGTCAGATGCCAACGGTCACGCTTCAATTGTGCCTCCTTTTTTTTATTCGCTCACTGTTACGAAAGAAGCGAAGCATCCGTTAACTTTCCGCGCATCAACTGGTACACAATGATTCACAGCAGTAGGTCATAGTCGTCGAAGTACTGATCTAAGTGACTTCCAAGCAACCTGCTAGCACACCATTTCCGAGCTAGTCGCTGCTCTCTGCCTGACACTTTTAAATCGAAATGGCAGCCCACGACAAAACGCCGACGCGGAGAAAGCTATCTCCGCCCTGGAAACGGAGGCTCGCGCATCGAGGCAACCTGTACTCCAAGCAATAGTGCATTTCACTGTTTACAAACACAGGCCCTTGATGACATCCGGTTTTGTCCACCGATGTGCCCTAATAGCATCTGTGGACAACAAGAGCTTTAGAAAATAGCCCACTGATTTTTTACAGTTTCCTTACCATACTTGGCAAAATATATTCAAATGAATGTTCTTTTGAGCTACATAAATATTACAAAACATTTACTTCTGTCCTATGTGCTGTGGCGGGACGTCACATATCACCTGGGCATCCAGTGCGAGCACTGATGTGCGGCCGACCACGTGGTTCACTGCCTATACAGGGTGTCCCACATAACTTGAGCCAAGAATTTAAAAATGAAAGACACTTCAGTGACGAGTTGAACCAAACGCATACTACTCGCACTAGCCTGTACGTACTCAGGCTATTTTTTATTTCTCCACATACTAATTAAATATTATTTCTTAGTTACTTTTTTAGTTATGGGCTGGAAACCAAAAATATGAACACTGAGATGTAGAGCACTATCAGAAACCACCGACTAAATCAATTCTTGTACGATACGCCTAGCGCTGTTATTTTTTCCGCGTTGTAAAGAAACCCTATAGCAGCACATTGCAGTGCGCTCGCGGTCCATGACACGGCTTCTATTCACATTTCACGGGCTTTGTTTACAACTTGAAAAAAAATAACAGCGCGAGACGTATCATACAGGAAACAACTTAGTCGGTGGTTTCTGAAAGTGCTCTACATCTCACTGTTCACATTTTGAGTTTCCAGCCCATAATTCTAAATTAGGTAATTAAGAATTACTTAATAAATATAATGAGGAGAAATACAAAAAATACCCTAAGTACCTACAGGCCAGTTCGAGTAGAATGCCTTTGGTTCAATTCGCCTCCTAAGTGTCTTTCACTTTCACATTCTTGGCTAAAGTTATGTGAGACACCCTGTATATACGTGTGTGTTCTGTAATGAACTTATGACTTGTTCTTGAAATGCTGTCTATTCCTCACGCTACAACACTAGCGACGAGGGTGGGACGCGCCCCCCCCCCCCCATTCTAGCTCAGTACGAAGGAAGTATCGCGGATAAGCGGCAATCGACGGCCTCAGAACAAAATCAACAGCATTCCTGGCTCGGGCTTACGGAACTCGTCAGCTGCGAACTTCATCGAGGGTCAACGTGTTCGCCGGAAGAGCAACTGACCGATAAGTACACCGCACCTTGTCTGAATGATGGCGCCAATAAGGAAGCTAGACGAGTTCGACGAGAAGGATCACAATTTTGAATCCTATTTGAAACTTCTCGAGCATTTCATCACTGCTAATGACATCAAAAAGGAAAAGAAGCTCGCAGTATTTTTGTTTGTGATAGGATCACGAACGTACGAGGCGATCAAATGTTTGGTAGTACCCGCTGTTGCTGGAGACAAGAGCTTTGAAGAGGTCACAGTGCTGTTGAAGAAACACTCTAGCCCACAGTGCCCGATCATAACCGAGCATTGCAAATTTAACAAGCGAGCACAAGAGGAACAATAAAGCGCCAAGGACTTCATGGTTGCCTTGAAGCATTCAGCAAGGAAGTGCCATTTTGGCCAGTTTCTACAAGACGCGCTGCGAGACCGAATAGTGGTCAAAAGAGAGAATTTCGTTACACTTCAAAAAAAAAAAAAACCTTGAAGACGTGCTTTCAGTTTCAACATTAGCAGCTGGTAAATGAGGTGGCCGGAAGTTTTATTGGGTACAAAGCTTGCAACCTTGAAATCGTCTATACCACTCCTACCACCACCACCTCACAGTGCTCGCACGGCACCTTTTAAAGGCAACGCATGCAGTCGCGTCGCAGGGACGCGTCCCCGTTGGTTGCCCGCATAGCGTTGTAAATGGAGACGCGCTACACCATGCCTCAGCGCCAGATTGAAGAAACAGGAGGCGCTGGCTTGAAGTACGCAGGCATAAAATACTTTCTTGTTAGAACGAAGTCTGGAACCATGGTTGCCTACTGATTCATTTTGTTTTTAAGGCATTTCACTACAGCTCTACATTTAACTAACATTTCCGACAATCGGCGGAAGACAGAAAAGACACGCTTCTTAAGTTGTTTCAAGTAAAATAGTTCTTGTTGCAAAAATATGTAACATACTACACGTTCCTTCAGAAGAGGCAGGCCTGTAGCCATTTGTTTTTTGTTTGTTTTTTCTTGTAGTGCGTGGGGGGCCTTTGTTGAAGGAATAGAAAAAACCTGTACTTTGGCTATTCATTCTCGCTAAAACACCCCCACCATCCAAGTTTAAGGGGTGGGGTTCTTGAGCACCCCCTCCCCTCCCTCTGGCTACCGGTCAGAGAAAGGGGCACACATGTTATACGTGCGTACACCTAATAGAATGAAAAGTTGTTACTTTGTTCAAATACGTAAGATTGCGCAAGTAAAAAAAAGAAATGTTCAGAAGCGAATAGTAAACAAGTGCATTCTCTTACACTATGTAACATGGTTGAGTGAGTTCCAGCGTTCTTACGCAAGCCCATCGACTCCTCTCACAACCCTTTTAAAACCTCTTTGTGAGCGTGGTTGTGCATGTAAGTACTATCAGCGTCAAATGAAACCCCAACATCGGCAAGCCCTGTCGACAGTGTAGTGCGCGCCGTCCAGTTATCAACGTTTACAGGCGCTTGCATACTGTTCGGCAGCTCTGCGCAGATATGCGTGCCTGTCCGCGGTGATTGCTGGACGGCACGCACTATAGATCTTTGCATCGGGCGAGGAGGCCTGGTCTGGCAACCAACGCATTACTCCTCTCTGGCATGCGGGCGACGGCTTGGAGTTTGTGTGTTTACGCTAGTATGTGGGACGTTATCGAGCAATTTGCATGTATTAAGCCAACCTGTGGATTTCGTTTTTCTTCATTGGTATGACGACCAAGAATTGGTCATCAGAGAACCACTGCGCTGTTTAGGGTGCAGTAACAACTACGGAAAAAGGAAGCTGCTGTCACGATAAATGTACCATGTGCATTCCAGACGTGGAGTTTTTGCGGCTGTGGACTCTTCAAGTTCCATCGTTTTCTTGTCGACGAGGAGCAGCCGCTTCTATGGCTCGCAAACTTAAACAGGAAAAACTTTTTACCTTCCGCGGGTATTCGGGTATGCTCAGAGCACTTCTCAGGTGAACGAACCGAAACGAATTCGACACTGATGCTCAACCTCGGCTACGAACGTAAGTTACGCAGCCTACACCTATTCCAATGGTGACAACGTTTCCCCAATAAACAGCCCCACCTAACATTTCTTTTTATCGCCGGTCAAAGTTCCACGGCACCGAGAGACACTCAAATGTCGCAATGAAAAAAATAATACAAAGGGAACGCACAGGCACGTCATCGTCGTTTGATGTAAGAGGTGTATTCATGTGCACAACTGTAAAAACAAACGAGCGAGTAAGACACGGTCATTCCTTCAGAGTTGAGAAACAATTTAGACAACAGTTAATGCGTAGTTAACAAAAACCGTCAAAGCCACGAAATAAAGACGAACCTTTACAAGAGCGTTAGCCGATGCGACAGTGGGACGCAAACAAATCTTGTTAGAAAAGCGGATGACTACAGCCCAATAAAGATATTCACTGTGCTCTCGAAGTATTGTTGCTTGTTCTGGAAGAGAAAGACCTGAAAATACTGCGCATTCTTCGAGCAAAAAGTCGGTGCTGTGAATATACTGCATCAAAAGAGGCGGACTTGTTCACGGCACAGTATATTAAAACAATCGACCCTCAACGACTTGAACCTTGTCAGAATGTCTCATAGACTCATTTCCTAAAGAACCTACCTCTATTCAGTCAAAATTTCCGGCGTAAAAACTGAAAAAGAACAATATAACCGCAGCGCATGCTTACGTTTTATACAAACAGCGAGCTTCCCGCATGCCATATGGGTTGCCAGACCAGAAAAGGGCTGCCCGCTAGCAAGATAGCGGCGCCCACAAAAAAATACGTCCTACAATCGCAAAGGCTTGCCGCTGTTTGGGTTTCATTTCACGCTGATAGTACATTTTGGTGCCATGTGTCGGATACATGTTTGTTGGTGCAACACTTAGAGATGAAAACGGCATGCTATTTGCTGCATATCCATATTTACGAATACTATTTTTGAACCAACTTCACAAACACCTTATATTCAGCCTTTCAAACTTTGATAAGAACGAATGCTTTTGTGGCACGCACAGGTATGGATCGGGCTGTTCTCATCCATGCTCATCGTGGGCTTCGTGGTGGCACTGATCGACGCGAAGTTCCAGCGCTCTCGCCTGGCAGTCGCCTACTACTTCGCATTCCTGAGCCTGTTCAGCATCTTCCTCATGGAAGGTGCGCAGCCAACCGGAATCACTACTTTCCGGAAAGCAGTTAATGTAGAGATCTCAAGAAACTAGAAATAAGTCAATGGGTGCGTTAGTGTGAAGTGGCTCTGTAGGAGTTAAGCAATCATCAAATGGTCTCATTAGAAAAGTTCATTGTCACACGAATCAGCTTTTGTAAAAAAAAAAAATTCGAATCCATCAAGTACGCTAAAGTACAAGGATTTGTCGCGCGCTTCAAGCTGTTTCTCTCACTTTTCGTACTAGTGAGAACGCTGAAAGCTACACAGGGACTGGGATCAAAGGCGGCCGAGAAAATACACGTCTTCGTCAGCTCATTTATTCACCTGCGGCGCATTTTTTTTTTTGCTTCGAGCGAGCAGCTAGGTGCAACATTGTCGTGTGATCTAACGGGGGGTCTGCTGTCACGGACACATTAGCGAGTGCTAACAAATTACTGGGATTTCTAAAATGCCACTTACGTCATGCTCCCAAATACCTAAAGCTGCTTCTCCACAAACCCATACTCAGACCAGAGCTTGAGTATACCAATGCCATCGGGAGCCCGCCTCAGGCTTATCTCGGAAATTCATTTGAGGCACTGCAGAACCGCGCGCTACAATTTATTCATTCATTATACACGCACCACGTCAGTGTGTCATCATTGGAATAAGAATCATTTCTATCAACTTTATATCATTTCTATTATTTCTATCACCACTCCAGCCCGCATGCCTGAGAACACCGGTCATGTCGTGCGAGTCACCCGATCGCGCAGCTACACCAAAACATTTTCCGGTTCTTTTCCACTGTCATCATCTGAATGGAAAGACTTTTCTCACACCACTTCCGCCGTTACACGTCTGACTTTGTTCTTGCAGAGTGTAACACATTACCTACCGTCGAATTAGAATACGTAGTTACCATTTTGTATAATTTCTCTACATCCATTCCTTATGGAACACCCTTAGAGGGGTCTTCATTGTAATAAAAAAATAAACTTGAGCCATTTCTCCGAAGGCAACACTGATGAGATGTGAAGCAGGAGTGTTGCGCACGGGTGCCGTCACGGGTTGAACGACATTAACACGGGTGCCGAGGTGTGCGCCGGTTTACTTGTTTAAAACGATGGCCGGCGTGGGTTTTGTAGGTCACACGTACAACATGTTTCAAAATGAACGTTAGGCACGCGTCAGGTTCATTGCGCATGAACCGAAGAGTTGGTGGAGTAGCGAGCGGCGGCAGCGGCAGGCGCCGCAGCGAGGGCGCGGCAACCTACGGAGAGAATGACGTCAATGCGCAGCAGCGGCATGACGTATTGGCACCGCGCCAACACCTGCGGCGCGGGGCGCGCTCGTACGGAGGGGAAGCGTTACGCAGGCAAGACAAAGAGCTGCTTCGCATCTAAAAATCAAATTAAGTGAAAGCATGATCGCGAAAGCACGCGTGCTTGTGGCGGCATCCTGCGGCGGCCGCTTTAGCTATGCAGCTGACGATGCTCAGATCGAACTATGGTCCTGTACTTTGGATATATGGCGCAGTGGTTCTGTCATATGGCTTCATTTGTCAAGCAATGTGATTTCCAGCTGATTTGAGAAATAATTGTTATTTCGCACTCAGCGCCGGGCTATAATGTGTGGCTCACGTGACCTAAAGGGCCCTGAACACCGATTGGCATGGTTATGTGATCATGCACAAAAAAACGTTGCAGGTCCCCGTTAAGAAGCTTGAGCGAGCTGTAGACGGTGCAGTGCGTTCTTGTAAACTTAATGGTTCAAAAGCTACTTTTGGTGCGTAACTATACGCAGTGCACTCTGCATGTTCGAACGTTGGGACGTTGCACGACAGCTTGCGCCTGCTTCGTCTTCGATAAAAATGACGTGCCTCTTCACTGATTCAAGCGCGTTCTTCTTCCGCACTCATTCCTATCGCCACCTAGCTGAACATCTGTTCAACACGATCGCGCTTTGGCGCAGTTTGAGGTAGCGCGAACCGAATACGACGGCCAGATGATAACTTTTCAGACGCACTGGTACCTAACCTAGTCCCGATTAGTCACAGTGCGGCGAGCTTTCGTTGCTACTTCTTCAGGTTCTCATTTTGTTCTGTGACAACTGAGAGCGGCAAGGACAGCTTGGATAGCATGCCTAGCTGCTACTCCATTCGTTTTCCTGCGTACAATAAATGATGCGAGCTCACCATTGTTTAACAAGAATTGTGGCGTTTCCTTACCAGTGACGCTGCTTCAAAATGAGCTCCAAGAGTGCTAGTTAATGCATGAGAAGCGTAACTCGAATTGTGGCACGTTCGTCCTCCGAAATCTGTGAACAAAAATTGCTGAACTAAGCTCCCAAGGCCCCACACTCGAGCACATTCGAGCGTGCTCCGTTCGCGTTCGGAGCGCGCTAACTTAACGCGCCCATCATGATAACGTGATATGAGCGCTGGTCTGCGAAACTGTTTTGTTATGATGACACCTAATTACCTTGTGAAAAAGCGTATAAACAGAAATATAGTGAATCCATTCGAGCATCGCGGCAAAAGCTTTTTTTTCATACTTTTTGCGTGATCTGTTTGCGTGTAGTTTTACTGAGCCATTACTGAAGCCCCTGTATAAGCTATACTATGAGTTTAAAAAGAATATCACCCTTGTTCGTATCCCGCGTTCACACAGTGAAACGTTTGTATTTTTCTTTTGCTTCGTCCGGTATACTAAAGGTTCTTTCATCGAACGTCTAGAGCTTTGCTGTTTAGTGAATATTATTCGGCGTTGTTAATGCTTGTCGGTGGGCTTGTTTGTTTGATAGCATTGTCACGAAAAAAAAAACAGGGCAAAAGGACAACGGCGCTTGTGTACGTGCATCCTACAATCTCTCTCTTAGGCACTTTTTTCACTACAGTGTTTATACAGCGCCTATTGTAACTGCCAACATGGAACCTTTGCGTACCTAATCAAGCTTTCCACACCTTATAGCTCAATTCGTTGTTGTGCACTTCCTAACTGGCTTTTAAGTGTTGCCGGGTCTGTTCATGCCCAAGATAATGACCCTGAATAATAAGCCCCTATATCGGTAGCCTATAACGCAGCAATAATTCTGAGGTTGCCAATACGCAGAAACGCAACTTCGTTCGCACTGCCGTGCACACTTCTACGCAGCGTCTCCCCGGGTGACACGTGGCTCCGCCAAGCGGTGGCTGTACGGCACCTGGTGGCTTGCCGTGTTTGTGATGGCCACGGGCTTCACGGGACACATGAAAGCCAGCCTCACTATGAAAGACCCACGCGAACGTTTCGACACTCTGCAGGACATCATGCGAAGCAAGGATGTGGTGCCGGTCATCATACGGGGCACCACCTACGAAGAACGCTTCCGGGTATGACTCACGTTTTACGTGCTGAAACTAAGCGCACCTACTTAGTGTTGATTTTTCAGTTCCCCTTTGTTCACTTTCTCTTATTCCTATAGTTTTATGTGAGATAAATTCATTTCTAAAGCATACGTATTTCAAATAGTAGCTCAGTTGTAACTATATTACCCAAAACAGTGGTGAACTGAGCTAATAAGCAGTCCGAAAGAAAAAAAAAACGAGAGGTGAGGGGGACTAACAGTCTTGTACAAGTGCTGACTGCCAACGGAAATATTTATTGCCAGTCAGTGCCGTTGGCAGTCTGCGCTCCTCTCGAGTTGTTCTTTCCATTTGCCTCTCGTCTTTCAGCGATGCAACTGCATTATCTTCTGTACTCTATGGAGCTTTTACAAATAAATGCTGACACCATCCACAAAACATTAGCAAAATCATAGTTCTTGTAGCACCGCCGTGGTGGTCTAGTGGCTAATGTACTCGGCTGCTGACCCGCAGGTCGCGGGATGAAATCCCGGCTGCGGCGGCTGCATTTCCGATGGAGGCGGAAATGTTGTAGGCTCGTGTGCTCAGATTTGGGTGCACGTTAAAGAACTCCAGGTGGTCGAAATTTCCGGATCCCTCCACTACGGCGTCTCTCATAATCAAGTGGTGGTTTTGGGACGTTAAACCCTACATATCATCATCATAGCTCTTGTACTTGCGGCCCTCTCTAGCGAGAAAGGGATGAGACTTGCATGCAGCGGGAACACTTAGGTGCATACTGCTCTTTCTATTAGGCGTTACACAAGTTTTGCACAAGGGCAGTGTCACGAACCTGACCATTCAAACCGAAACAACAGCCATCAGAATGAGAAATGGCTGTAGTCAGAGAATCAGTACAAAATTTGTGCATACAGGAGGATGTCTTATAGTCAAAAAGTGAATCGGGATATCCTAAAGTAGTGAATATAGAAAAAAATTCATTACAGAAGTAAACTGCCCTACAGCTAGAAATTAAACAATAAAATACAGCGCACAAAAAGACTTTTAATTAACGGTTTCAAGCTGGAGTTCATTTTCTTAAGCGCACACAAACCCATATTTGGGTACAACAGATCGAAACCACACATGGACTCATCTTTCAACGTTACGAAAACAATACGCCCTTTGCCGGAGCAAAACAACCTAACACCAAAATTTTTCCGAGTTCTTTTTCGGCAAAAAAATGGTGGTTTCGGTTGTTTAATTTGATCTAGTTCATAGAGTGGTTTGCAGTGTGCTCACGGGATCCTCATCGACAGCCAGTTAACAAGGCTAGGCTATCAACTCACAGCTACTTGCACTAATTTGGCCACCCACCTTCGGGCGTAAATAGCATGGTCGAAAAAATAATGGTTTTTTGTCTTGCTTTATTTTACTTTTCTGTGTCAAGAGTCGAATCCATATTTCGGCGAATCTGATTCTCGCTACTTCTAACATGGGTCACCAATCTCATTCGAACTTCGACTGTCACACCATTTTATGTGCTTAGGCAGAGCAAGATTCATCTCTGCATAACTGGGGTGAGTCTCTTAACTAGTGAGCCGGGATAGTGCAACTAGAACCTCGCTCGGTACAAGTGTGAGTGATTCCTGACGGGTGAATATTTTTGGTTACAACATGAATACGAGTAAGTCCGAAGTGAAAGAAACAATAATGGAGTTAGCCTGAATCAGTATATTCACATTACACGTCTGCGGTTTGCACCATGCAGAACTCAATCGACGTCTACCAACGACAAGTGTGGGCCAAGGCACGCCGCATGGGTGGCATCATTCCCGCCAAGGAAGTATTCTCGAGGGAAACGTTCGACGATGTGCTCAGTGCAAAAAAGGTAGGGACAGGTCTGCAGTCCTCTAAACCGTCCTATTCTTCTATTCCAGTCTGTATACTTTTCTTTGAGAACCTAAAGGTGTGCTGTTATGCCTGTATTATGCTATCCACGGCGTCTGTTGCTGCGCGCTTGACGCAACTGACGGCGAACCCTCGCGCAATGCGCGACAAACCCCCTCATCCACGGGTCCAATTTCAGCCAGCGACCAATGGTGGTTTGGAGGATTCGAACTACTGGCTGGTGAAAGAGATCCCCAAGGGCTACAAAATAATCAAGCTGCACAAAGAGAGAAAGTGACTGAAGAAATCTCTGATCATTGTCGCACCTCGGTGCGAGCCCAATAAGTTGTCGGCTCCAGTGCCGAATGTGTAACGCCCTGGTTATACTGTGCATAAATGTTGCCTTAACTCACCGTCGCCTTGTCAGTTCCCTCAATCCGCTCTGCGCAGAAGCAGCCACGAGATCATACACGCGATACCCAACAGTGCATACTGGTGCTTCGCTCGGTATACCTTCAAATTTTCAGTAACAACTTTATGCGCATAGTGCTGGTAACGCCATTTGGTTATTGTTTGTTCGTTTGTTCGTTTTGTATCACAGAAGCATCATCTCTAAACACTTTCTGATGCCATTAACTTTTACAGTGATCTTGGGCAATATATGTAGTGGCAACTCAATGTGACGTGCTTTATGTACCATATATAATTGGTTGTTTTGTAGGTATTAAGGTTATTGCAGAGTCTTCTGCTGCGTTTCCAGGTGATTTGCTATCACCCTGTAGATATTTCGCTCGTTCGTCTTACGTGTAACTTATGGCTTGTCGGTATTGCATGAATGAGCAATGGGTACATGCATTGGTACCACGAGGCAGCACGGGATGATGAAGTTGATCTATATTCATTTGCAGCACATCGCTACACGACCTACAGTTTTACGCCAATTGAAAACACGATACGATTAGCCCCGCCGTGGTGGCCTAGTGGCTAATGTACTCGGCTGCTGACCCGCAGGTTGCGGGATCGAATCCCGGTTGCGACGGCTGCATTTCCGATGGAGGCGGAAATGTTGTAGGCCCGTGTGCGCAAGTTTGGGTGCACGTTAAAGAACCCCAGGTAGTCGAAATTTCTGGAGACCTCCACTATGGCGTCTCTCATATACATATGGTGGTTTTGGGACGTTAAACCGCACATATAAGTCAATCAACGTTACGATTACAGGCCCGCATGTTATCTCTTCTTGGTACTCCGCCGATGGGGACAGTGAGATTATTTTCGGGCCATTCGCAGGCACGATGCGTCAAATAGTTCACGCTCTCATAGCATTGGATGCGAGGCCCACCACTGGAAGAGCTGGCACCACCGTCGGCATGACGTCCTAGGCAAGATCAGCACCTGCGTCACCTGTTTCTAGAGCAGCACCATGCGCTGAAAAAATTTTTAATTTCTATCTGCTCTGTAATTCTCGTTAAAAAGAAAGGTTTTCTGTCTTCGGCTGTGCGCTTCACGATAACACCTTCAAAATTCTGCATTACGCAGCCACTTTCTTTCAAGGCATCTTATTTAAAGGAACAGTACCCCTCAACAAGTTGCAGAATTACCCGGTGTCACCCCTCACATGTGTCGACAGGATAAGAATCAACGTGAAACTTGGATTGATAAGCTTAGAAATGGTAAACAGCTGTCGGATACAACGTGCGTATAGAGCCAGCACCTCCGCGACGTATATTTGTTCCTCGCCATTGTGGCTGCGACGTCCGGTGAGTAGTAAAAAGCACTCACTCAGACTTGAGGTTTAACAGCGCGAAAAAATGCGCGGCGGACAGGAAAAAGACGGGACAAACACTGACTTCCAACTAAAGTTTTATCGACAATAAGGCTGCTAATATACTCGAGTGAACAGAAAAACCAACAGCGAAAAAATGACAGATGTAAAGATACGAACTATCATTAACAATCACTGAGCCGTCTACGCCAACCCTCGCAACTCAAAAACATATCTCTCTTTCCGACAGAGCTACTGATGGCTTGCTTACGCATGCACTTCTTTCAAGCGCCATCTGAGCAGCCTCATAGGTTATACGCTCATGTTCTTCTTTACTCTTGCCGAGAACTGTTGTCTTTTCGAACAGCGCAGTGCACCCACACGTGCTGACGTGTTGCGCCAGGAAGCCATCTTTGCCATTACAAACATTATTGGCGTGTTCCCGTAAGCATTCGTTTAGGCATCTCCTCGTCTGGCCCGCGTAACAAGCACCGCAACACAATGAGGTCCTGTACACCACGCCCAGCGCACAGTCGACAAACTGCGTCCTGTGCCTAACCATGCAATGTTTTCCGTTTCTCTTTACGGGGCAGGTCCTGTTAGTCAACTGGGACAACTTGTCAGGGGTGCTGAAGATCCCCTTCACGTTGAGGCGTTGTCCTATTTTCTTTTGGGCGGTGTGGTGTACAGGACCCCATTGTCTTGCGGGTATTTTAACATGCTTATTGTCAATAAAGTTTTAGTTGGAAGTCAAATATATATCTGCAAAATATATATGTGCAAATCTTGTAAGGACAGACATATGTTGAGTAGTCGCATACGTTTCATATAACCAGTTGTGTAATGATGCCGACAGCAACATGGATATTAGCAACACCAGAAGCGTTAAGCTGGTATGTAGCACTCCTGCTTGCGAGGGTGGTAACAATGGCTATAGGTCTACGTAAACCAAGTTCAGTGAATGGCCCTTGAAGGAGTACTGACACAATCCGGAGAGATCGCGAAAGGTACGTTTATCATTAACGGCAGTGCGCACCGGTATAAGACACAAACACGAAACACGTTTATCGTAAATATGACAAACCAACTAGCCCACAAGCACATTTTAAGCTAGTTTATTTCTAGTTACTCGGGCGGGCCGCCTTCCAATGCATACTTGGGACAATCCCATTTGCTTTCAAACTCTCATAGCAGCTGCTACGTGCAAGACAAACGCTTTTGGGTTTTTCTTAAGTACATTCATCGTTTCCTTGGTATGCAGTGTAAACAGTCTCCACACACCGGATACAAACAACTCGTGTGAATTTTCTATTATTAATTTAAACTTTTCGTTGCTGAGCATTAGCACGTCAGCCCCATCGCAGTGGACGTTCTCCCGACGAGCCAACTCAAGTCCACTGAGATTGTGAACTTTGCGTGCAGCTTTAAGCCTAATTAACAGAATCGCTTATTGAAATGCCAGCAGACACGTACCATCAAGGAAGAAAAATTGGAGACAGAACAGTAAGGGCGCCACTCGCCACTAACTTTATATCATAACAACAGCGCCATATACAGCAACTGGGCTCTCACTTCGCCCTACATGCTAGTCAGAAAACACGCGATAAGGTTGACCAAACTATAATGATAAAAAAGCAGGCAAACGAAAAGGGATTCGAATAAGTGGAATTCGCTTTCATTTAGAGCTACAGATTTATCACTAACATGCATGTATCTCTTTTTCTTTAATGTAGTATTTACCCATGATTTTACGCTCTAAGGTATCATTACACTACCAAGAACGGATATACTGGAAAGCTCAGGCTCACACTTGCAAAAACCACAACTCACAAGCGTTGTGGTTGCCTAACTTTTCTTTCTTGGTGCTAAGCGTCTTATTGTACTTTAGCAAACATATAACAACAAGCCCAACAAAAAGTTTGATGAAGTTACAGAAACCGTGATGCGATTGATATGTGCGGTTTAACGTCCCAAAACCACGATATGATTATGAGATACGCCATAGTAGAGGGCTCCGAAAATTTTGACCACCTGGTGTTCTTTAACGTGCACCCACGTCTGAGCACACGGGCGTACAGCATTTTCATCTCCGTCGAAAATGCAGCCACCACATCCGGGATTCGGTCCCGTGACCTGCGGGTCAGTAGCCGAGTACCTTATCTACTAGAGCATCAGGGCGCGGGGCAAGCTACGGGAACCCTCTCGTGGTCCTCAGCTTGACGACGAGGGCACCGTGATTTTCACGTTATTCACGTCGTCATCAGTCAGACGTATTCTTCGAACCTCCTTACCCATCCATACTAATTTTGGTAAACAGCAAGTTAAAGGAGCACTGGTTTAATTTGAAGACATCGTTAAAGGGACAAGTTTTCTTTCCTCGGTATGCAGCGTCAACGATCTTCCCACAACGGAGTTATGCGACATGCATAAAATATTTTATTTCGACTTAAAAGTTTTCGTCGCTTAGCATCTGCAAGCCAGCTCCTCTGCGATGAACATTGTCCCGGCGAGTGAGGACAGTCTCTGCACTTTGGAGCTCTGCGTCCTGCGCGCAGCCAAAATCACGAAAATTACGGTCAGTGTCACAGAATTCACTCATCGTTTTTTACGTGCACCATGGGCAGATGACAAATTTACCACTAGTACGTAGCCATTTACTGTCTTTACGTGACGTACAACTGCTCTGGCGCATCACTCAGAAGCCATATCAAAACCGAAAGTGTCTTTTTAAGGTAGTGGTAATAAATATATATTCGATGCATTCCCAAGCACCACAGTAGTCGTTTTGGTTTCTCAACACCAGTTTTTTTTCGAGCAACAATATCAAAATTTTCATATCCGTGTTAGTACTCGTTTAAGGAGGCGTTCACGAGAGCAACCACACGTGTATGGCTAGACATACAGACAGATACATAGAAACATACACTCAAAATGCCTGCGGTTCGCTAAGAATGGCTTCTCATTTTAAAAAATAATACGCAGGTGCGAGGTCCTCATTTCTTGCTATCTCTGTCAAACATTTGCGTACATTTTTACAGTTGTCCGAAACCACGCATTCCAGGTATAATATATGAGCTCACACAATGCATGCGCTCACACAATGCTGCGAATTTCCGTATTTCATTTTAAGGTACAACTACAGCCCCGCAAGAAGCACGTTCACGTTTGCTAACCATTTAAGGACTTGCTCGTTTTGCTTCTGCTCAGTGTACTGCAGAGTTCAACGACATACACACGCAATCACAACACTGCTTACTTGCAGGTAGTGTTCCTGGACATTACCTTGCTGTATCACGCCTTGGTGAGACTGTACGACCAACCTCCGCAAGGAGAATTCTACATGGCCCGGGAGATCTCCATGAACTTGACTATGGGCATGTGGGTCAACAGAGGCCTTCCCGTCAGTCTGCGCAAGACACTGCACCAACGGTGAGTACGTTCCTACATTTTCTTTGATGCCATAAAACACGTGAAATTTTACTGTCATGGTTGGTACTTTCACGGGGAAGATAAGGCACGGCTAGGCATAGGTCGGAAAATGCACCCATCACTCGACTCACGCAGACTCGCTCATACTCAGATCGGGCCGTGAGTCCGGCTGAGTAAAATTTTAGTGAGTCGGAGTCTAAGTCAGTCCATTTGAGAAAAATATTGGTGAGCGTAAGACCGGGTGAGTCCTCAACGCAAAATGTATTTCTCTATCTTTGAGTTTTGCTCAAGAAGGTCGGCACTAAAATGAAAACACAGACGAGTGCGATCTAACAACTGTTTTTTTAACGTTCACTTAAGAACCCTTAGATCTGCTCAATCTGGTTTAAACAAACTCACGAAGAGCGCACATATAGCGCAGCTTGTGTTCACATACTCGATGAACAGAGCAATTTTTTTTTCAAGTAAGGCAACTGATTGGTGGCTAACAGACTTGCAGTAAGCGTGCATGCCTGCCTTGTTTAAAAAACACTATCGTAAATTATCGGCATCGCTACCGAACCTTGAGAGAGGTAACAGAAGCGTAGTACATTGACAAGCTGAAAGACAAGTATATTGGCCGCCCGTCACTTGCCTTACTTGAAAATTACATTGTGCTGCTGTCTTGTGTTCATTGGGCATGTGATCACAAGCTGTGCCATGTGCCCTGCTCATGAGTTTTTTTTTTTGGACCAGGCTGCGCAGATCTGAACATTTTGAGGTGAACATTTCGAAAACAAGTAGACAAATAGACAAATAAATAAATCAGTTGTTAGATTGCGCCCACTTCTGTATCTCATTTTTGTCTCCATGTGCTTCCTCAAAGACCTCACGATAAATATTGTCACTGTTCACCTTTAAGAAAACACGTAGGCGTTCAGTCCAAGAACCAAATGCCCGTTTTATGCAGCAGCGAAAAACAAAGACATAAATGAACACGTCATATTTTTCGGTCAAATGTCTGGTTCCACCAGACTGTTGGAGCGCGGCTTTTGCCTCCTAAAAGAGCATCGCCCCGTTTCTATATCCGAGCCAATAGTGCATAAGGTCGCTTTGTAAAAGGGACAGTCCTTCGAAGAGTAACCAGTTTACGTACGGTTTTATGTGCACTACGTTCACAAATTCAGGCCGGTGCTGGCGAAACGTTGTACAGTGTGGGCTATTAGGAATGACCTCATAAAGTCTCAAGTATCCCCTGAGAGACTTGATGAATAGTCCCCGTCTTCGTACAGGCGTCCACACCCATACCCTCTTCCCAGTGTATGACGTAGATTATAGCGGCCTGCATTGTACTCTTGATGTTTGCATATTCACACACGTGCGAGCTGCCCGGTTCCCTCCGTGCATTGAGTGAATGCACCGGCCTTTTTTTTTATTGTCGTCGCATTTGTGTGGCAGCATCGCTTCCAACATCTTTCTTACTTCTCATTCGTGAACAAGGCTGGAAGGGATCATCAGTTCGGTTTTTTGTTTAAGAGTGTTATATGCAAACGTTATATATAAGGTATAATCTCACCTCAATTTTCTGCTCTATTTTCACACAAATTGAAAGCGTGTCTTCTAGAGTTTTGTTCAGCCGGTTGGTCAGTCTGTTGGTTTGTAGATGCTAGGATGTTGGCTTAAGATGAACAGTACCACTGAGCACCAACACATGATCTAATAGCGTGGCCGCGAATGCGGTTCCACAATCTGCTAAAATGATCGATGGAACACAGTGTCAACACAATCTTCTCAGTAAAGAATCGGGCCACCTCTTCTGCTGTGACTCTCTAGATAACTTTTGTTTCGACGTAGCGAGTAAAGCAGTCGGTTGCCCCTATAACAAAGCCGTTAGCAGCCATAGCGGTAGGAAGTACACCCAAACTGTCTGTTCCGACCTGGTGAAATGGTGTTGGCAGAACCTAAACTGGGTGTAAGAAACCGGCTAGTTTTGTTAAAGGTGACTTGCGCCGCTGGCAATCGAAGCAGGTTCGCACATGATGTTTCATGGCAGCTGTGAATATAGGCTGGTAATACATCTCCAGGCCTCTGTCCAGAATGCACGTGAAGCCGAAATGTCCAGAGGTGACCTCGTTGAAGTACCCTAGCAACACTTCAGAACAAAGAGTGGTAATTAAAGACGACAAACAGGTAGGTGGAGCCATGTGACGAGAGCTTCATTTTGTAAAGGCCATCGTTTCGCACACAAAACGACGATAATCATCTTGCAAATACCTTGGGCGCGTTCTGGATTCGCCCTTCTAAATAATTCATTAAGCCAAATAGCTGTAATATGATGTTGCTGGTGTGCCAAGGCTGACGTGTCGAAGATTCCGATGAATGCTGTCTCTTCATTGAGAGAAGCAGCCGACTCTATCGATGATGAAGACATCAAGTCGGCGTCCGTGTGTCGTTTTCCCGTCTTGTACACTATCGTTATATCAAACCCTTGTAGTCTAAGGTTTCAGCTTGCTAATCATCCAGAAGGATCTTTGTGACTTGTTAACACAGCGAACGGTGATCAATTATAACCTTGAATGGGCACCCGTGCAAGTATATGCGAAATTTCATAACTGCCCCTACCACGGCGAGACATTCCTTTTCAGTTGTCTAATAACTCACTTCTGTGCGTGACAGAGTTCTGCTTGCATAAGCGATCACTCTTTTCTCATCCTCCTGGCGCTGCCCAAGCACAGCTCTGAGACTGACACCTCTGGCTTCAGTATGAAGCATTGTATGGGCTGTCTCATCGAACAAGAATGGGGGCCGTGTGTTGTTGTTGCCACAATTCATTGAAAGCAGCATTCTGTTCTTCACCCCACACAAATGCAACGTTATTTTTGTGAAACAAGTGCGTGGAAAATCCGAGGTAAACAGTCAATAATACGCGTACAGGACCATAAAATGCCTGACTGTCTTTTTATTTGCCGGTTTAGGAAACTGTGCGACGGTGGCAACTTTCGCTGGTTCTGGATAAACTCCTGCGTAACTGAAGACATAGCCAAGAAACCTCAAAGCAGACGAGACACTTCTCCGGCTTGAGCAGCAAGCCTGCGGCACGTATAGCCTGCAAAACCACCTGAAAACGTTCAAAATGTTCGTCAAATGTTGCAGAAAACGCAATGACGCCATCAAGATATATTACGTAGGTTCTCCTCTTGAGCCCAGAGAGCGTGGTATCCATGAGAAGCAGAAAAGTAGCAGGCGTGGAACACAAGCTGAATGGCGAGACCTTAAACTTGTGAAATCCGTCTGGTGTCAAGAAAGCGGTTTTTTCCCGATTTCTGGGGTCCACACAAATTTGCCACTATCACTCTTTAAGTCCGTGGAGGAGAAGTAACGTGCGCTTTGAAGCCTGTCGAGTGAATCATGTAGAGGGGAAGCGGGTACCCGTCTTTTTTATCACTTGATTCAACTTTCGATAGTCCTCACAGAAAAGCAGGCTGCTGTCTCCTTTCTTGACTAGAACAGGTGATGCCCATAGGCTCTTTGACGGTTGAATCACGTTGTCTTCAAGCATTTTGGCTACCTGCTGTTTTATCAATTCTCCTTCTTTTGAAGCCACACGGGAAGTATTTTGATGAATTAGCCTCGCTGTGTCCTCTGTAATGATCCGGTGCTTGGTCAAGGATATCCAGCGAACTTCTGAGGTATGCGCAAAGCAGTCGTGGAGCTCGGCTGGAAGCGAGAGGAGACGTTCCGGCTTTTGCTTAGTTAAAATAGAACTGACGTCAAGGATAGGTTCTAGGTCGTGTGGATTAAGTGTAGGCGTTGCTTCAAGTTCTGAAAAGCAGTCACTTAGGTCTGCTATTTAGTCAAGATACGCCAAAGCTGTGCCCTTTGGAAAGTGCCAGCGCTCTGTGGCGAACGTGGTCGACAGCAATTTTTTGCGGCCGTTGGTGACATAGACGATTCCTCGTGCTACTGAAATCCCGTGAGTGAAAAGCAGCGAGGTTAGTTGGTCTGCGAGGCCTTCACCGTCGAACGGCATGTCATATGCTGCTGAAGCAAGGGTACACGATCAAGGCGGCACAACTGTATCCTGATCATTAAGGTGAAATCATTTGCGCTTTGGTGGCGAAAAATAAATCAGATGGGCACTCTTGCGAAACTGAACCACGAGGTCCGGGATCTTGATAACAGCACCAAGTTCCCTGAGAAAGTTCATTCCTCTAGTTATCTTGTTGCTGCACTCAGGCAGAACGATCTAAACTCGTGACGAAAGAAGAATCTCTTATGCTGGCTCCTGCTGGGCGTCTTTCAGTAGGGGGCAGCAAGTGACCACTCATGGTTTCTATGCGTGGCCTTGTCTATGGCGCTTTGACTTTTTTAAAGATGAGCGGCAGTATCTTGACTTATTATGGAAAAATCAATACCTGTACCGACTAAGGCCGTCACTTGCTCTCTTTCGATAAGTACATTGAGTTCAGCGCTCACCATGTCGTCGCTGTTATATTTGTCGGCGTTGGGTCGTTCTGTAGCGGCAGTTCTGGGGACTTTTTATCGTCTTGTGGTCGGGCTGCGACCTTACCCCGAGTGGTCACCGCCTATAGTTTCCCCGGCGTGGGATGGGAGACCTCGCGTTCCACGAAGGTCAGCAAAAGTACGTCGATTCGGTGACGACGTCTGTGCAGGGGATAGAGAGCGTGACCAGTGGCCGTAGCTGGGCTGGAGATCGGGAAGCGACTCTTAGTTGAGATGCGGCGTCATCGGAGCTCCTAAAAAACCAGCATCGTCATGGCGAACAATGTTCAAAGCTTCTGAAGTTCTTCTCGAACCATATCCCTGATCAGGTCATGCAGGGAGCCCTAATCGTCCAGAATCATTGAAGCGGTATTAATTGGGGCGTTAGTGGACGAGTGATCATACTGCTTTGATCTTTGGTACAGATCCCTCTCAACGGCAGTGGCTTCTCATAAAATCGACCACAGTAGTTAGGGCATTTCGCAAAAGTCCGGCAAACAGTTCTTGTTTCACGCCGC